ATTGATGTTCGATGCTCTTAGAAATTCAAGTATATATGATCGAAAGCATTCACAAAAATTTCCTTATTGTGGTAGAAAATTATGTCATCAAATTTTGTGCGTAAAGAATGTATGCCTTTAGATTTAAAAAAATGCGTAATTGAGAGCTTTTTGCGTCTGCGAAAGGTCCATACATACTGCATCGTATCTGTCCGTTTCTAATGCCCCTGATGAAATATATCATAGGGTCTTACTCCACTGTAGAGTCTTATGAGACGTATATGATTTCCCTTTCATGTATACAGCCTATAGTTTAGAAGCCCTTAATGCAAGTGCATCCCTGCGTCGGCTTCAAACCTATTCGAGAATTTAGCACTGTGGTGTTTCGGTTGTGTATTAAAATACCCCTCTGATTATTGCATGTCAATCATAGAATGCAGTACTCCGTTAATATCTCTCAGCTTAACAGTTATAGTTAGCGAAAGCGAGCCTTGTCAAAAAGACAGGGCCTCTCCGAAGAGTCTACCCACCGAGATGGCCGTAAAATACCCCCTCATGTGTTCGTCCCTGATTAGCAGTGTTGTTTGTTCGCCGCTGAGCAAATTACTGTTATTATTGCTGATGATGGTGGTGTTGGTGATTCTTCACTTTATCCCCCATCTTCCTTTACCCCACAAAAGGCTCACGTGAACAGCATCAAAATCGTGGTTCCACGTTTCCACGAGCGCGACAGCAAAGAACCGGTCTGCCTGGCGGAGACGAGCCAGAAGACACGGGCCAATAACCTCTTTTCCCTGCGCCTTCTCATTGTGGACAAGGTGGCGCCGAACTTCCTCACCGAGTACGAACACACGCGACACCATCTCACTTGCGAATTCAAGACCCTAAAGGTGCGTGCGGTGTTCTCCTCCTGCATTTTTGATGACTTCCTGATACACCTCTCCTCTCTTTCCCATATTTCCTCACCCGCGCACTCCGCTACTATCTTCTCGGGTAGTGGCGCAGATCATTTTAAAGTTGGAACGAAGTAGACGTATATAGAAGCAACATCAACGAGTAATATGCTGAAGTTGACTGCCGTGCAGTTGGCGTCGGTCCCTGTCACTTCGGCTACGGGCAATGCGACAGTCGACAGATTGGGGGTCGTAACCCTACTGTGGGCCTACTATACAGTTTTGAGAGGGAGAAAGAAAAAGAAAAATGCTTTATTTTGAAGGTAAATATCCAAAATTTTCAGCAAAAATGGTCTTATCTACTGAGAGCAAGGGATAAGGCAAGGTGAAAGGTCATAGAATACTCAAAGTCTAAAACTTTACATGATATACACGTCTGGTTTCAATTTCTAAATTTCCGTTTCTTCACACGTAAGGTAGCGAGAGTATAGAGTGCTGATATGCCGATGTACGGCAAGACATATGAGGGGAGCTTCCGCACATACTACGGGGAGACTTCGCAGCTATTAGTTCAGAGTGGGGAGGATGAGCGACA